TATATCACTTACATGGTTATGTATTTATTATACCATCATTTTCTTTTCTATTATTTTTAATTATGAGCGATGTTGGTATGAAATGATAATATATGATGGCTTGGGAATGTTCAAAACCTATTTCTAAATAAACTGATACACTGAATAACAATTATTGGAGGAGTTAAGGCAACAAAAATCAGTGCAATATTGATAAATTTGCAGGACTAATTTTAAAGGTTTAGATATAGAACTTTCTTCAGCTGCAGGAGTGCAAATGTACTTCTGTAGGTTTTTCAAATGAATATTTAAACCTTCAAAGCTAGTCTTGCAAATTTATGAATATTACACTCATTACTGTTGCTTTAACTTCACCAATAAATAACTGTTTACTTAACCATCTCTTAAAACTTTTATAAGACAATATTTTACCTTATTATTTATTTATTTAGGGTTGAAAGTGAACCATGTGAATTCTAAATTTAAAATTATAAGGGGAGAAGGCAACCTTACAATGGCACTGATATTTTAATAAAAGTCAATTCAGACATATGTGCCTCAAAATCATAATCTCAAAAACTAATGAACCATGAAAACATAAATAAGTAGAACCCTCTCACTAATTACCCAGTAAATTGTCATAGTCTGTATTTACTGATTTATTCTATAACTATAATATTTAGTATATGTGTGTATATATTTTACTTTATTCCACAGTTTAAGTAAAATTTTACTTATCTACCAAATAAAAATAAACAAAAGTTGTATATCAGAAAAATTTGAGAACCATTGCTGTGTGGATAAAAACACAGCTGAAATAATAATAAATAACAAACATATATTTAAAATTAAAAAAAAAAAATAACACCGCTTTTCCAAATTTAAATATATACTTCGAAAATCAGATCTTTTAAATACAATTCTTTTAACAGATAAGCTCAAAATTTTAAACAAAAGATTTTACAAAGTGTCAACATGGAGTAAAATGACTTAATGATAACATACTTCAAATATTTGGACTAACCACAACCTTTTATACGTTTAACATGACTTTATTGTTGTGAAACAAATACAAAGCACTTTTAGGGGGGCAATGAAATTAAACTATGAAATTTTTTTTTTCCTAATCACATAACCAATTTCTATTTCGACCAAACAGTAAAACTAATTTTTCATTTGGGTAGGACATTAAACACTCAATCTTATTTTTATAGCATTAAATTTAAACAAAGAAATTTTTTATTTGTATAATTCGTCTGATTTAAGATAAAATTCCTTAAAGAAATAATTAAAATAACACCAGTACATTTAGTCTATTTTTTAGGAAAAAATACTTACTAAGCAAATGATCACCAACTTACGAAAATACATAAAATTAGCAAAGCAACAACCTTGTGTTTGGCATAGATTTAGTCAAGATCCCTAGTTCTTGACTAAATCTACACCAAGCACTATCCTTGATAGAGCTTTGCTAATTTTATGTTTCATTTTTGCATGCTTCTCTTCTGTTCATGTTTTTAAAGAAAGTACATTAATATAGTTGAACTGTTTCCCCATTAACGCTTAGAGACAATATTAGCTGAAAACTACAGGCCAGTCTAAGTATTGTATGCATGAAAATTATTAAAACATATGTAGTATATTGCCTCATATTTTCTTTATTTATAACAATAAAAAATTAAATCATATAAATAAATTTTTAAAATGCTCATTTTTAATTGGCATAGTCAGAAAAGCAAAGTGCTGAAAATGTCACTTAACTCGGTGATATGGTGAAGCAGAATTTTTTTACGAAGAATCTGTATTATTTCATAAACTACTAAATATTTGTATTAAAGATAAAAATTGTAAAAGGAATCTTTAAAGTGGAATAACAAATTTTAGTTCACTTTTGTCACTTCATAAAGTTCAAGTAGGTGGGCATTGCTTACAGTTCACTCGCAAACAAACAGCATTCCTAGTAACTAATCAATTCATTCACAATAGCAACTACTGATCCACTAATACAAATCTTTCTATACTCTAGTTTTGTACTTTTTTCATTTTTTTCAGTGTTGCCTGAACTGGCATTTTGCTTAAGGATACCAGCATCAATAGAAGTGCTTTACAAGAAAAATTAAACATTTTATTGATTTCAGAGTACTTTATGCGAAGATAATAAATGAATTTTTAATAACACTCTGCACAGGTATTTATGATTATTTCAAATTCCATAGCAAAGAAAACTAGAATTCATTTAGTGCACGTTTTAGCTTTCTAGAAGCATCATTTTAAAAATAGGCCTATTGTCTTGTTCACATGAATTTTGTTTCCTTAACAATGTGATGTTAGAAAATGAAGTATATGATTTTTTATACTCCTAATATTAACTCAAAGAGTTACTTTGGCATGTGGTGATAAGTTTTTATTCACACCCATATTACTTATGCTTATTATTAAATTAAATGCTTATTTAATTATAGCAGTTAAAGAAAATCAAATGGACATTTAAAAATGTATTTTAAAAAATTATTTGTGAATTGTGGGGTATTCATAAATCTTATGACAACAGACTATTTCAGTAGATTACAAGTATTTATGTAGATATGTAAGATACAAAAAATATGTAAACTAAAATACTAACTTTAATTTGCAATTGTCCCCCAGCTTTCTATTTTAATTGGGTCACATCCCCTTTCTGTTTTAAAAACAGTAACTGCTTATAATAAATCAGTCTTAACTGCATCCTATTAAAATTAATCACTCTCATATATGATTCCTGTATAATGCAAATGATGTAAGCATTTACATAATTATTACATTATATTTTAAAACACATTAATATTTTAATTTTGGGAACAAAACTTTTAACAACAGGGATTATTCTGAATTAAAACAGATTGTTTCAGACCATATCATCTTCAAAAATGTTCATTATGGTTTATTATTAATCTCATTTTACCCCTTATGCATGATCGCTTTTATTTAGTCATAGGATTTCTTACCATTTGGTATATATCAGTGTTTCCCAAACTTTTTTATGCTATGCCCCACCTAATCCTCTCTAAAATTCGTATTCTCCACCTAACACTTACGTAATTTTTAATATTCAAAAATTGAAATGTTCACGGAAAAAACTTGAATTATAGGTTTTAGGAAGAAATTTCTAATCATTTAAATGTCTATATTTGCAGCAAAAATTCTTTATAAAATATTTAAAATGTACCACAGTTTAAGAACTTTTTACATATACATCACTTAGATTATTCTTTGTTTTGGGGAATAAACTATGAAATTTTGAAAATTTTCAACTTCGTGAAGAAAATTTGGAAATTTGAACATCCCTTTTCCCCTTAAACTCTGTTTTCGAAAAACTCCATTTTCGGATTCGCCACCCCTTAACAATCGAATTGCCCCCATGTGGGGCATGGGCCCCACGTTGGGAAACACTGGTATATATGATTTAGTTGTTTGAAATACACTACTTTATTATTTTATTATTCTTATTTCGAGATATTATCTTAATAAATGGAAGTTTATACAAACAAAGTGTAAAACAAGTAATTGTACAAATCTAGCTAATATATGCTGTTTAAATACAGTTCTTCATGGGAGGAATCAAGAAGAAAGATCAATGCTTTATATAGCTGTGCACAATGGCATCCAATATGAATGTATTTTTCACATTAGCCATCCATAAAATATTTAAACTGATATATAATGATAAAATCAACTTTTAGTCTAATAAATTTAATACATCTGAGAGTTTAATTAAAAATTATTAAGCACTATTTTTATAAATTTTAATGCAACAATATTACTAAAAAATGGTATTTGATAGCATGTGTTTAACCCTTTGACACACGGTGGTCACACCATGAAACCACCAATTTTCCAATTTTTTTCTCCTCTTCTTTCCACAATTTTTTAGTGAAAATCAATTGATTACTGATCCTTTACCTCTAAATAACACAACATGACTACAGAATCATACATGTTTTAAGTCTTAGTACTTCAAATCGGCTGCCTTTTAAAATTAATTTTCAATGAGATAAAATAACTTTATTAATATAAAAAATCTTTAAATTTCAAAAGTTATTCATTGCACATCATGATTTCTATCGTAAACAATAAAAAATTGCAATAATTAAACTGCATATATAAAAAAAACTATCTATATTTATGGCATTTGTTTTGTAGTTTCAGGGCGCGACCACCACTAGAGCATTGTGTCACGATGCTCACAATCCTCTAGAGCAGTGCTCTGCAACCTTTTCTCACCTGCGACCCACAAAAAATCTTTCTGGAATTTCGTGGCACACCAAAGAGTTCCGAGTTATCAAGGAAGTGCTGAAAAAATTCAAATGCTGACACATTTACAATCACACACACAACAGTGAAATATATAAAAACATTTAAAATAGACATTATTAAGGAAAAAAGTTGTCATTGTGTATTAAATACATGATAAAAAATTGCAAAATGTCAAATACATGTATTTGATTGCGGCACACCTATATCCTACTCATGGCACACCCGGTTGCGGAGCACTGCTGTAGAGGCTTGGTGGTCGCGCCTTGAAACCACTGCTCTTCACAATGGCATTTGCTTGCTTTTCAAATAGGAATGTTTATTTTTACCCGGATATAGATAAGGTGCTTTGAAACCACAGAGTTATTTTATTACTAAATAGTACATGCACCTGCCCAGTGAAAAGGTCTTTGTTTTCCAGAGATTTTTCTCTGACCTCAACACACTTGCTTCCCAAGCTAGTATTGCGATTTTATAAATTATTTGGTGTGGTTTAAATTTAATGTAAATATACTTTGCTATAATTAAAAATACAAATCGCATAAAAGTTTTATTTAAATTAAAACAATTTTCTAAATATTTTGGGACAAAATACAAATAAAATAAATATGAATGGGAAACGAATGATCCCTACCAAAGCCAAAAAGACCAAGCCCCCCTTTCCATTAACATAAAAAACCACAAATTTCATGTGCCAGATGAAAAGAAACTAATAACACTGGACATTTAATTAGAAATTAGTGAAATTTAGAAGATCTGGGCAGTGTACATTTTGTAGGATAAGGAAGAAACCTCATAGATCAAGATTAATATACATTTTGTTAAATTTGTAAATTTCGTCATTTATTGGAAATATGCAAGAAAAAGGCACGTTTCCCCCCTCCTACTTCCTCAGTAAGTTTTAAAGTGCTAGATGCGGGCTGGTTTCATAGTGCAACCACCACCCACAGAACAATGGGCAAGAGTAGATTTTTTTTAATTCATATATTACTCGTCTCTAGGATCATAATATTCAATTTCCAGAGTTTTTAGTTAAAAAATTATAGCATGCATCAAAGGATTCCTATATTTATTTTATTCGGACTGAAGTATCACAAAATGTTTCAAAAACTATGGCTGCCACATTCAACTTTTAGGTATTTCATATTCTGCAATGAAATGACAGCTGATGGTTACAATTACAATTGAAAAATTTACATAACAAACTTCCTTTATAGAACACTTTTAATGCTATCCATTTTTATACTAATTGCATCATGTTCATAGCAGATTCACTGAAATACAGTTTATTCCTTTAATCTTCACTGACTTTTGGATCAACTTTTAACTAATAATTCATAAATATTAGATTGCACAAACTAATAATTCATAAATATTAGATTATTTCCTAATAATTTATTATACAATAATTTAATTCTAATAAGGTATCAGATGGCAAGTGTAACAATACTGTTCGAAACTATATTATTTTCATTATTGTTTAATTAGAAATAATTTCCTAATGATTTTGCTACATAACTAAAACATAAAATAAGTTAAACATTTTTAGAGAGTGCTATGTGACTTTTCTCACAAATAGCACAAAACATACTTTTACATTTAATCAACACAAAATGGTCACTTAGCATGCATTCAGATTTGTTTTTACATATTTAATGTAATAAAATGCTTTTATCACAATTAATCATACAAAATTTTAAAATTCAAATGCACATACATAAATTTGTTCATACGAAAGAATAAATAGTGTAACATTTTAAACAATCTAAGCAATGATTATTTAAGTTTTCAATTTTCAAATAATTTAATAATTTTCATACATATCTTTTTCTTTTTGTTAAAACCAATGACTTATATTTCTGATTCTAGAAGGCAAAAAGAATGGAGGGGGGAGATTGATGAAGAATAGATTGGTCCCAAATAGGCAGTTTGATAACAACAAATAAATGAACAATTTTAGAACAACTCAGTCTAAAAAGCTGATAATTATGAGTATATATATCCTTAACAAAGAAAGCAAGATAAAACAGAAAACTCACTTAAAAAGCATAACAGAATCAATATAAATGCGAATTTAGTACACTTAATAAAAACAGTTAAAATAATCTCACAGGGTATGTGTCAATAATTATGTTTGTATTTTAATTTCTATGCAAAATATTTACAAGGAAAAAAAGCTTTTAAAAATGACTATATGTCACAATGGCAGATAAAATTACAAAATTAATGAGTTTTTTTAAATAATAATAAAAAAACTAAATTAAATTCCTGCTTAGTAAACATACAAGATGAAAGAACAAATTTAAATAAATCTAGAAGCTATTTAATAACTCTAACTTCAAATTCAGCAAATCGTTAAAAATGGGCAAAATATACATTTTAGCCCATAGTGCAAACACACGTTTAAATTTTTATCCTAAAGGAGAAATTTATTACATCAAAAACAATCAAGATAAATTTAAAGAATTAAAATGCTCAAGAAAAGATATTTGCATAAAATGTATATGAAGTCCATAACACACACACAGACACATATATATATACATTATTATTATTAAATAGTCCTTTCTTTTTTTCTTTTTTCTTATCTTTTGAATCATTTTGGCTGAAAAAGTAAAACATGACTTGTTAATTTTACAATACATACAATAAAAATAAATTTTTTTTTTAAAAATTTGAAAATTTAATATAGATTTAATTTTAAAAAATTCAAATTCTTAGCTATAAATATTAAAAAAATAAAGAATATATATTATTTTTAATCACTTGATACTAAATAAAAAAATATAAAAAAGAAAGCTTTACTTATTTTTATTTATAATTTTGTTTAATTTACAAAAATAATTCATTAGTTGAAAGTTATTTTAGTATTCCTTTTTTTTTTTTCCTTTAAGCTCTTTATAAAAAAATCCTAATCATTAAATTATGAAATTTCACAATCATTTCAAGGATAACAAAAAAGCAGCATATCTGAGTGTCTTAATCATGAACAGGTAAACATATGCTATGCTGCAGAAAAAGAAAGAAGATCCTCATAAAATATCTACTTTCATACAATAGGTTTTAAATATTTTACCTAAAACTTTTAACAGATTAAAATATACACACATACATATTATTTAAACTGTGTTAAGTAAATGAAGCATAATTTTAAAAATTTACAAATAAATCAATAAATAAAACTACAAAAAAGAAAGACAAAAGTCTTAAATTTATACATGTTAAATCGATAATTAGTTATGCTAACAACTTTTTCTTTCCAGTAGAATTTATTCTTCTTTTTTTTTTTGAAAAATATTTCTGAATACTTAATAGAATAAAACAATTATTACTTAAAATGTAAAAATTAATTATATACATGAAATAAAAAGAATAATTTAGATAAATGTACGGTGTGCTTGAAGAATTAATTTGGAGGACTTCTTTCTTTAATATACCACTGGTCTCAGAGATGCACGATTCTTTTGCTTCAAGAGAATTCTTTCTCAAAATTTTTACAGAGTGATATGCTTAATCAATTCAATTCAGGATTTTAAAGCCAATTCAGTTCCAAAAACAAGACAGAAAAGGCAATTCGTTTAGAACTTAATTATGAAAAAGGAGACAGACAATCAAAGGACACAATTTCTCTAATTAATGAATCTAAGTTTACCAATTTAAATAAGAACTGATTTTCACTTATGATTACATGTATACACAGGCAAACAAAAAACTGCATTCTCTAGCAAATATTTTGTAATGCCAATGCATCATTTTATTTATATAAAATTATCTTAATTGCTGCAAAGCAAGATATGAGATCATTCCCCATTCATATTGCATCATACATCGCTTTCAAAGTATTCTGAAAAAGAAAAGCATTATTAGGGCTTGGTTCCATGGAATTGGCCACGATGATATTCAGAAATTGATATCTTATATGCCGGACCATTGCAAGGCTATTATCGCAGCTCAGGCAGGATCTACTAAATACTGAAATGATCCTTATGCATTTAATACACATCTAAGTATACATAATATGACTGCAGTCACGTAGAATTGAGATTAACTACAAAATATACGTATCGATTAGTTTGCTCTATGTTTTGTTAAATACCGTATTTAAAAAAAAAAAAAAAAAGAACTATATCATTACAATATGATCTTGACATAAAAACATATATATGAAACACATTATTTGCACACTTTTCCACTTTTTTGCAGGTTATGAAGTTTTTTTGTCAGCCACTTAATACTACTTAATACTACTAGATCTTGTATTTATTAATCTTAATAAATACAAGATCTCGTTTACAAGCTTTCAAAATGCTGTTCATTGACGACATCTAGATCTAAAATTGAAAAAATACTCAGCTGATCAATGTTTAACAATATTTTCACCTAAAACATTGTGTACAATAAAAATTTGGATTAATTTCATGAGTTGATTTATTTTGCTAACTTTATTGCTCGTTGTTAAAGTTTCAGCTATGTTATAAAATAAAACAATAAAACACAGTTTTTTTTTTTTTTTTTTTTTTTTTAAAGTTTCTATACTATAAGCTTTTACTTAAAATGAATATGACAATTAATGCTCTAAAAGAAAGAATAGAATTATCATATTGTTAATGAGAATAATGGATTAAACAATTCTATTTACAGAATTCCTCTACAATTTTATATCAGGAATAGCATGGAATGTGTAAATAATTAAATCTATTGATTTAAGTGCACTGTAAAATGTAAACACCATTATGTTTTTAAATTTTCATGGACATCCACACTTTTGTTATCCATGATACAATATTGTAGATGAATTCTGAAAGGATTTATTTAATCTATTATTCTCATTAAATTGTGTAATACATTTTTCCTCCTTTTAATGCATTAAATTATTATATTCATTTTGAATAACCCACAAGCAACTGAGCAGTAAAGTCGCTGAATATAGCTAGTTCGGCTTGGGCTCGAATCTCAGGGAACAGGCTAGCTGCATGGCTATTTTCATGGGTTTTACCAAGCTGAAAATGGATATCAGCCAGTTTCCCTTAGAAAGTCCTCCTTATCCTTAGGCAGATAGCTCTTGATTGCTTTGCCATAATTAAATAAACCAAACTATTTTTAACCGTTTGACTGCTAAGCAATTCTTGCAAGAACGCACAAAAATTGAGGGGCATATTTTGACTTGATTTTGTCAAATAAAACACTCTCATTTAGACAAATATCAATCAATTTTAATAATTCTTTTCGTATTATAAAGCAACAAAGACACACTGAAGCGCTGCGTCGCGGTTTTTGAGACAAATAAAGGCAGTGCTTTTGCGCCGCGTAGCAGACAAATGGTTAAATAAAAGTTTATTGTATAAAAGCCTTTTTTTAAATTGTACTTATTTTCTGTTTTTTAGTTTTAATTGCACATTATCAATTAAAAAACTTAAAATGAACATCATTATTTGAATTAATTAAGTTCAAGGTAAACTCAAAAGCAATTTTTCCACATGAAACATTTTTCTCCCCCTGTCTGTTTGAGATTACAAAAAACTTCTTTAAAAAAAATGTTCAAAAAGCGAAAATTAATATTTTTTTTATCATTCTTGTTTTAAAAGAACACAAAAAGTTTGTTTTATAAGCTGTGAAATTTTCAAAATTTTATATCCAATACAATTTTAGACATTGAAATTTTAAAATCATAAGCATTAAATAGTCTAAAAAATCGAGAGATTTTCAAAGATCTGAAATTACAATACAATTTTCATCAAAAAGATATTTTTTTCTGTTGTATCCAATGGTGCAAACTGTAAACTTCTGATTTGTTTAGTTTGTTCATTGATTGAAGATGTATACAAAAAATCAAAAAATCAATTAAACATGAAATACAAAAATCTAAATCAAATTTTAAAACAATCATTTCACCATACTGCATTGTTATCAGCCCACAATGTTTGTACAAAATTTGAACTCAACAGCTTATTAGGAAGTAGGTTAAAAAACTCATAACAAAATTTCTTTCACACAGCAGCACCATGTGTAAACCAAGTAAAAGCTTATAACAAAATAATTGATCTACTTCCTTTTAATATTTATATATTGTTTGATTTTGTTTAATCTTATTGCCAAGTCTCAAAATACATATACAACTTAATAGTTGTATTTGTTCTCTAGTTTTTAACTCTCTTTGCATAATTGATCTACTTCCTTTTAATATTTATATATTGTTTGATTTTGTTTAATCTTATTGCCAAGTCTCAAAATGCATATACAACTTAATAGTTGTATTTGTTCTCTAGTTTTTAACTCTCTTTGCAATTCATTAGAGAATCAGGAGCTTACTTTCTAAATATTGGGAAATCATTAAAGCGAACCATAATAGCTTTCTTCTTCTAAATTTGAGTCTGCCATGATACATAGTCTTGCATAAGTTTTCTAGCTTTTAAAAAGAATTTTGTAATAATATATAGCCTTTTATTTTCCCTCTAGTGTGTAGAAAAAGAGGGGAAAAAAACACAACATAGTCAAATGGTAGAAAGAGACCTAAGCTGAAGAGGGTTGTGAAACAGAACGTGATGGAAACAGTAGAAACATTCGCACAAATTTCAAAATGCTTCTGGATCTAACAATAGAACGATGACAACTTGCCATGAGTTCTTGATTTCAGATTTTTCACAACTGAGTAGTATTATATAAACCAAAAATTGTTGCAACTGAAGATAAGTATAGTTTACAGAAGTACAAAACTTAATGACATTGAAGCCTTGTACAGTAATGGCATATGCTATGGAAAAACAAATTTTGTTACAATATCTGGTAAACTGATGGGTACATGAAGGTGAACAGAATGTCAGGTGAATGGCATTTATCCTAGTCCATTGTTGATTGGCTGTTTTCCATGATTTGAACTCAATTTCTGGTTCCTGTAAGATATATTACGAATGCGCAGATGAGTACTGATATATTTTTGATTATTCTGTGCTGCCTACATTATGGCAACCATTTTGCATGGCCCCATTCTTATTTCTGCCTGATCATGCCCCTGTTTATGCAATACATGGCATACAAAAACTAGTTTCTTGACCTGGATGTCGAAAAATCTGTCACGTCTGCTCAGAGTTCTGATCTCAAGCCTACAAAGAATCTGCGAGATGAAGTGGAATGTGAGCTAGAAGCCACACCTTGTCATTTAGATGGCTGAACGAAATTACCACTTTTTTTTTCCAAACAATAGTATGCAATTCTAACTACAAAATTCTAAAATGTGCTCAGTCTTCCCTCTAAGATGGAAATTAACACTACATCAAAAAGTAGATCTGGACAAAATTAATTTCTCATTTATTTGCAAGAAAACCAATATGTCAAAGCATTAGATACTTCTCAACATAATCTCAAACTCATCAAGAGAGACAGAAATTGGTGATTTAGTATTTTGTAATATCCCTGCCATTTAGAAGTTCATTTTCAGATGCTTCAGTTATTCAGATTCAGTTATTTTAGGACAAATGTGTTTCAGCTATGCAGATTGATGGCAAATGTTAATATACTGATACTTTCAGTGTAATGATCAATAAATTACATGTCATGTTTTATGCTAAATAGTTTGCACAACTGCATGTTGATGTACGTTCCATTAGCAAATTTCAAATGATTAGGCTAAGGTGTAAATGCTTCATCGATTATGCACGTTTTCAACTTTGAATATTTTCAGCCTGAGAAACTACACTGAAAAGAAAACTTTCTAACATAAATCTAAAATTAAGTTAAAAAATTCGTAGACAGGCATAGATTTCATACAAAACTCAATAAATTTTCAAGGTAATTGGCATAAGTCTCTTTTATTTAGAAGCAAATAAAAATTTGCAATTTCAAGAATTTCTGACATAACAAGCAGTTTAAATCAGGCATTCCTTAAATTATTAAGAGTTATTATGTGAAAATCTATACCAAAATAAGGATATTTTTAGAGAGCTGTTTCTATTTTACACTCTTTTTTTTTAAATTTAAGTTTTTATTTTATTTTGCACTCTTTAGTCTGTCAGAACATAACATAACTGTAAACTGAAGAAATAATGTTACTGCATAGTTAGAAAGATGACACGCAAAGACAGATATAACCATGAATTCCATACATAATTTTATTCCTTGGTAAATAATTCTTAGGACACATACTCTTTTTCTTTGCACATCATCATTATGGATGCAGTATTAGTTTAGATTAGAACAATAGCTAGCAGGGACTACAAGCAAAGAAGCAGCTTCGCTCGTAATCTCTGTTAGCTATTGAGAGCTACAAGCAAAAGTTCACAGTTATCCAATATGGCAGCCTATTAAGAGAAGGTTTCGGTCCAAGTTCCTTATTAAGAGAAAAGTTTTGGTTTAAGTTCCGAATTAGTTATGCCATTAGCATTATAAAGTCATATATATGGATTCATTTAGAAATGACGCAATCAAGAGAAACTTTGCACAGCAAATGCTAAGAGGGGGACATGTAAAAATCTAAAGAAGAAACTTAAAGAGTTATTGCTAATTAAGTTAGTAATTTATTAGACATTTATTTTCTTATTTTATATTTTACATATACATATGTACGCACATACACTGTACCATATCGCACTGTACCTACAAAAGTTCTTACCCAGCCTTTATTTTTGCAACCACTGGTCATACTATAGACTTAAAAAAATTTTTTTAAATGATGGAAATATTCATGTTTAAGTTATTTTAAATTTAAAGAAATCAGTTTTATAAAAATGATGAAATATATGTAGCTTTCTATAAAATGCTCTGGTCCTATAAATGCATATAGGAAAATTCTATACCCATTATAAAAAATTAAATGCAAAAAGTTTGACTCCTGCACAGTAAAAATTGACACAGATTTAAATTTTACAATCTGCAATTTTTTAAGTAATTTTTAATTTATACTGAGGGCTTGGTTAATAAATAAATTAGAATAATTCAACGTTAATTTTTTCTCCCTTAAATCCCATTTATTGATATTTTTTGTGATTTAATAGACCTTTAATTTATATTTTTGTTGCATTTGTCACATAAAAAGAATTTTCACACTAGAACTTTATAAATTTTCAAAGTCTAAAAATATGTTATCTATATTTTCATAGTTTTATTACTTTAGAATCAAAATCTGATAATCATACAAAAAATTCATTAATATTTAACTATTCATTAATATTTTCCTTAAAAAATTTCCTTTTTAATTAATGCAAATAATATTACGATTTGGCTACATGCCAATACTGATGTCTGCCAGTGTTTTATAGAACGCAAATTCTATAAGATTCTGTGAACAAGATCTCCATATAGAAAAATTCATACTGATTGATATTATTCACAACGATCTATGCAGAAATGGTCGCCACTTAATCTCTTAACATAAACAATTTTCTAAACTGACATTTTACTTTTAATTATGTACAAATGCAAACATTTCACTCTTCAATTTGTGTACAGCTTCTGAATATAATTTCTAATTTTAATATTAAATATTTCAGTCCTATGTTGGCACACATTTTGTGTTTTATTTTAATAATGAATAAAAAATTTTCTAAATATGGAGACAGAAGAACATATAAAAAGTTATGATTTTTATTTTTCATAAATGGATTTCTTTAAATTTTAAAATACCAACACATCGTTTAAAAGACTTTTGAAATTGGCAGTATATGTCTATGACCAAGGGTTGCAAAAATAAAGGTCAGATAGGGACTTTTGTGAACATAGTGAATACATTTAAGATCAAATTATTACAGCAGGGACAGGGAAAAGTGGACGGAGCACCAGAACTTCGTCAGCGGCTTTTACAAGTATTGCTGTGCCGCACTACTGTACCCACTGGGCGTTCGGTTGGCCTGCATCAGATGCTAGCCTAACAAGACCTGTACATTAACTCTAGACTTAACATATTGAATATACAATTACAAAAACATGGTATACAATTATTACAAAGAAATTAATCAATTAACAAAAATTGGAATATGGCAGATTAATATAACAATTACTTCGAACATACATCATACAAACATTCATTGTACATCGGACATTGTACTTCATACAAACAATACATTACATTAGTATATCTAATTACATTAAACATATTTTTAAGAAACTAATTAACGAAGAATTTTTTGTTTCTCCTAGCACATTGTCGTATTCCTAAGGCAATTATCTTGTTAATACATTTCCTTTCATTTTGTTACCATGTTACAGACAATTGCATCACTACTGAAGTCTCGCATTATTTTTGTAAATTAATGTATCATAATTAACGAAAATATAGATTAGAAAATCAAATAATACTTACATTTACATTAATATATCTAATTATGTCATATATTATTTTTTTAATTAATGATTTAATTATTACAAGATTATTTTCACCTCATCTCCTAATACAGTACAAATTCTTAATGTAATTATTTTGTAAAAACAATTCATACCATATTTAGCCTGTTTCAGGCATTTGCAATATTTCTGAAATCTTGCATTATTTTTGTAAGTTATGGAATAAGTGGTATTTATACAGACATGATATATGTCTTCTCTTTTATATGAGAAAAGTTTCTTTGTAATCAAGGAAATCTTTTGTTGTAATTGAAGTATCGTTAGTAAGCATTTAATGCACTCAGGCATAACTTGTGACAAATATTACAGCAACAAACTCTCAAATTATATATATAAAAGGGAGAGAGAAAAATTAATTGAAACTCACTCTTTTGAATTAACATCAACAGACATTCGGCGTAGAGATTCTTCATCCTTATTTTCAGCTTCAAAACTAGCTTTTTCAGCTTCAAATGCCTTCCACTTTTCTTCCAGTTCTTTCCGTTGAGCCTCAAGACTTTTCTTCATCTGCTCATGCCGTCGTTCAAGCTAATGTAGATAAATTTGATTTGATTTTAGTATTTTTTCAAGCACATACAAACAGCATACAATTAAAAGCACTTTACATAATGCACAATATAAAAAACACATATAATTTCATAATAACATATTGTTTCAATCCATCTGCTTACAGGCTTCAGAGACTTTAGTAAGCTTCTGCTATAACAATGAATTTTTTCCAGCTTGATAGATATATGTTAATACATAATTATACTAGATTATTCCATGTAAAACACAAACACAACTACAGTTTTGTAGGTAAATGATATGATTAGTATGCTAATTGCTAATTTAGAGACTGATTCCTAACTCAAGAAGTGCTTAGTCTGAAGAAAGAATTTTCAATTGTTCAAAATACAATTTAGTCCAAGTTTCTGCAATACCTTACTGTGAAGCGAATAGATTAACATATAAAGCCAAGTATCAGCAATAAATATCACGACTTGTGAGCAGAAGTCGTTGTTTAATAGCAAAGTACTATTACAGTTAGGGATATAAAGCTATCTAAGTTAGGGAGAAACAGCATTTTTCTGCACATAAATATCTAAGGGAAAGCACAAGATTACAAAACACAAGGTTAAAAACTATATTAATCCAAAGACAGGACAACCCAATCATTGGAAACTGAACAGAACTACCAGTGTTAACCTCTATTAATTCACTATATTAAAAATTGCATGGTTTTTGTGTACATCTGTTATTTTCATTCTAAAAATGGATGTTTGCTGAAAGCAGAAAAACATGGCATGCCAAAAACTACATTAAAAGCAGGCTGCCTGCACAATTACGAACTTTTAACCAGAGCAAAAAAAAGTCTACCAGTAGAGACAGACTCATTAGTTAAATATCACAAAGTATGCAAGGGCTATCTGCCTAAAAAAAGAGATACTTTTGTGGAGGATTTTTTATGGCAAAATGAATCACTCATGTTTCACAAAAGCACCATGCAATTAGCTCATTCATCAGGAACAAACCCTGGAACAAAGTGCGTTTTCCTTTAGTGTTCTTATTTATTTAACAGCTAGTGAGTCTCTGCTAGCAGAGATTAAGCCAATGTTTATACTGAACCAACAAAGATGGAAAAATAGCCACTAGTTCCCAGTCCTTGATAAATATGTCTCAATGGCATAGAACATGATTGATTTAATGTTGCTGCTGTATAATCTCTAAGCTGCATTACTTTTTGATTAAAAAGTAACAGTTCTGTCACCTTAATATGTTGTACTTTATTATTCAGAAAGATAATTTAATCTGTATACATGTAAGAATTTAACAAAATAAGCTTGATTTCTAAGTAGATGCATATTCATGCAGAAAATGTTTTGCAAGATATAAAATTAGGAAAAAATTTCCCCTGTTTAATTTCACTAATTATTGATTACTCTGAAAATACGACAATAAATGCAATAAATTTCTTGCATCAACGGTCAAATTATAATCTTAAGATCAAAATATGAAATAATCTCTCTACAGAAGATATTTCTATAATTATTACATGACATCATGCAAACGTAATCAAATGCAAATGAAGCTTGGATTTGCAATGCTAATTTTTGATTGAATATATAGTATATTGAAGTCTGTTTTTTAAAAATTTCATATGGAAAAATCAACATTAAAGAATTTTTGTATGCAGCTCCATATAGTAAAATTCTATAACAGGTAATTCTTACATCTGCTTCAGAATCTTTCAGTTTTTTAAATTTCTCTCTGACTTTCAATTCAAAGAGCTGCTCCAAATCTTGTTCCATTTTTTTCATCTTTAGTTCATGCTCTTTTCGTTCTTCTTCCATTTGAGCTAATGGGTTCCTTGATAAAACACATCATTAAAATTTAACAAGAAAATTTTCTAAGAATAAAAATTTTAAAAACATTCTGAAATATTTTGCCAAATAGTTTTAAACGACTTCATCTAAAGTTATCTTCAAAACATACATTTAAAAAAATATTATGGCACATAAGAGAAGCTCTCATAAATTTTAATTTTCTTCAAGACAGGGAAAGCAGTTTATCATTGAATTTGTGAGGCATCATTTGCAATAAATAACTCATCCACTAGGAGTGTTGTTTAAAACTTTTATACAGTAACAATACGCAAGAAAATTTTAATTTTTAAAAAAGCAATTGCTTATTTCAGCTATGACAGCCTTACATAAAACAAATATTTTATCATCACTTATTTTTATAAGTTAAAGAATATATGAAAAAATTCTTCATTAACCTTTTTAACATTAATGCAGTAAAATAATTTTATTATTCAAAATAATCCCCACCCTCCATTATAATGCAATTTCCCAGCATGCTGGAAACTGCTTTATTCCCTCTTGAAGGTGATGTTTGGTTAGATGTATATTGATTCTTAAATCACTGAATGACGAATGCAGGAAGCTATATCTGAACTATTACATGTATGTAGAAGCATGCTCCACTCACCTATATATCACAGACATTATTCCCTATCGTGTTCATAAAACATGGATAAACTCTGGGAGCTTGAGATCGCTCTTTAAAAGCTTAATAATCTTTTCTTCCAAAACCTGAGGAACTTCCAGTTTTCTCATATCTTTCACAGTTACTACACATGATTAACAAGAACTAGTTCTCACTGCTGTGTAGGTAAACCTATGGCAGTTTAAATATCCCCATCCATTTATTACGCTGCAGAAATCATTGCATGGAAAACAAAACATTAGTGTGTTGGTTCTTATATTTTGAGTCACAACCTACCAGTGATTAAAGAGACAAATGTGCTGTTTTAATGTGTTGGAAAAAGTTCTGATGTGCTCATTTCCTATTGTATAATTACATGCATTTATTCATAATCACAAATTAATAATTATCTACTAGTTGTTAATAACAATAACAATACATAATAATATATTTTATTTTCTTTAATGCATTCCTTTCCATACTCCTATTTTTCCCATAATACATTTTTGCGTGTCTGACATAGCTGATTGCAATTATAAGCAAGTGAGTTGCGAGATTGAAAGGTTCAAAAATACTGCCCTTAGACATTTCCGTTTTAATTGTGGCAAATTTTTTCCTCTTTTTGACAATTTAAATTACATTCACCCCATTTCTAATTTGTTTTATCATTATCAAATGGAATCAATGCAGAATGTTACTATTAATATTAAAGATTCTTATCTGATAAATGATGAAAAGTGATTTGAAACTAAAAATGTGAGAAACATGTCATAAATAAATCTATTCAACTCAACTGCTAACTATAGAATATAACTGTTAACTATATATTCAACGTGGAATATATGCTTGAAAGTTGAATGTTACTATTATCACGCAGAACTTCATAAGAGAAAGGAAATATCATTCATATTTTCAAATCAAAGATATTCATAAAAACTTGAAACTATGTTATTAAATCAGGGAATGAAATGAAACGAAACTTACCAAAATACCATAAAGGTATTTAAAATCCTTTGAGGGCAAAAACTGATAAAAAATGGATCAGCACACAATAAAAACAACACAAATTTAGTTTTCAATAAGCAGAAATGCATGGATAAATTATTTATGTAAAATAAAAAAAAAGTTCAATACCATATATTATCACGTTAAACAAATTTTAGGTACTATGAATAAAATCTTAGACAGTTAAAAAAACAAAACAATTCTGAGTTTTTATACAAATAAAAATATGAAAGATGTAAAGATTAATATATTTTGCCCTAAACAGATCTTTCTCTTCTCCGTACATGTAGGTTTACACATAGTTATGCAGTATACACATAGGCATACCGTGCTTTATTGTGTATCCTTTCTATTACTAAAGATATTAATAGTTCATAAGTTACAAAATGCATACCAAGCAAGAACAAGACAAAAAAATATAATAGCTCAGAAGTGTCTTTTCAACGCATTTGCACTATGAGCATAAATGTGAATATGAGATTTGGAACATTTCATAGTTTATCAAATGCTTTGATGGAAAGCACATTTTTTATTGCTCTCTTTGAACTTCGAGGATTAGGTTAAAATGTCAGAGTACCCTACTTTTCATGTATAAGAGAAACAGAAAATATGCTGATACTGTAATGTGATATACTCGATAGTATATTACTTTATTTCTTGATGGTAATGTCTTAGTGTACATAATTTATAAATTAAATTTTATGCTGGTATGTTATGTGAATATTGCATTATTCACATATCATTTGGACAACATTACTACACTTGGATGCACAGATTGTACTTTATTTCTTCATAACATTATCAGATATCAAGTGCTTAAAAAAGAGAATATAAAAGGTATAATTAGTAAAGCAGCCAGATTCTATATTTAATACTGCTATTATGGAAGAAATAATGCAATAGAAGAGATGATTAAAATAATATGATTACTATGCGATTGAAGTTAATATTAAGCCCTTAACTGCCATGTAAAACATATAAGATTCACTCTGCAGTGCCACCATTTTTTACACAAGTGAACGTAGTTATGTGTATTAGGGGAAAATATGTGCAAGTTTTGCTGTCTAAAAACTGTTTACTTTCACAAAATAAAGAATAAAAGAAAAAATGAAAATAAAAATTTTAATCCTTAGAATAAGGATATAATAAAAAATAATAGGAAGAAATATTGTAGTGAGCTTGCTAATATAATAATGATATAATAAAAAAAGGTGTAAGTATAATACAAATGATGTTTGCATAATAAAAAAAGATTCCAAAAAATGGAGTTTGGGTGAATTTATTTTTAGACCAGTTAAGTGTTATACCAAGTTTCAGTGTTATACCTTGTAAAATCAGTATTCTGTATTGGTTGGATGCCATAGACAAGTTTTTCATATCAAGTCGTACCCAACATCAAGCATCTTTTAGAGAACAGTCGCAATACTCTTCATCTGATGTAATATCATATTCTGAGGTGTCTGATACTGAAGATGACAGAAAGTAATCATCCATTTCACTGTCATCACTGTCAGACATATTCATAAAAAAAAGCACCTACTACAAAAGTAAACAAAAACGGAAGACACAGAATAAGAAAAATACACTTTACTCAAACAGAAACACATGCAATAACCACGTAGTCATTATGTACACCATTTCAGAAACATCCCCCTGTTCTCTACAATACTATCCTTCTTTGCATACTCTGTTAAGGTCATTGTGATGTTGTATTCCAACGCTTTGCGAATAATTTTATTGGTAGCAGCGCAAAGCACATGAGAGTATTTTGGGGAAGTTAACGCATGAGCTGAGCAAGGCATATATATGTGACTGTGGCAGTTAAGGGTTAAAAGGTGAAAATATTGCATATTCATAATTCACCGGCCTCTATAAAAAATGATCTCACAGTGGTTAAACAAATGGTCAATTAATATAAAAAGGACATAAAATAGAATTTGAGTACTTTTTTGTTAATTCGATGCCACTTAGCATGAAACAAACTTTGGCACAAAATCTAACTAGACGGCAGCAGCTCTAATGATAAAGCTACATGAAAAGAATAAATATTTTATATATTGGGTTGGTAAGTAAGTACTTTTGATTTGCACAGACAGCTAGCATACTGTTCATTTTGTTATTCTTCTGTCAATCTTATAAATTTTTTTTTCGGGTGCTGCAGAAACAAATTCTGTGTATTTTTGTTTACAACTGTTAGTTTATGGTCAATTTTAACATGGGGTGCAAAAATAATTATTTTCTACATATTTTATATTTTATTTTCACCAAAGCAAGAACACAACTGAGACTGATAAAAAGATATGTGACTGCTTAACAGAAAGTATGTGTCAGAATAGGTTTAGAAAATTTCATTCTAGTGATTTTTTTTACTTTCAGATGACCAATGTTCTGGCCAAACTCCTGAAACTGATGACAACAAAATTAGCCTAATTGCATCAAATCATAACAGAACTGTGCAAGAAAGTCAAATATATAATATAAAATAATTGAAAATCGCATATGATGTCATATTATCTTTAAGAGGCTCAATACTTTGGTTTTGCATGAACTGAAACAAATTCAATTAACACAATTAATGAGTATTTGCGATATGCATTTAAAAAATAATGCAATCGATCCGTTTTTGAAATGAATTATCACTGGTGATGAAAAATGGATTGTCTACAGTAACATTAATCAAAAAAGATCATGATTGAAGCATGATGAGTTGGCACAAATCATATATCAAAAGTCAAATTACATCAGAAAAAGATCATGCTATCAATTTGGTGGGATTACAAAGGTGCTGTGTATTTTGCTGCTTCTAAGCACCACAATGATCAAATCAGATATTTATTACCAACAACTTATGAAACTGGAGGATGCAATCAAACAGAAAAGCACAGAATTGGCAAATAGAAAAGGAACTGTGTTCAATCACGACAATGCAAGGCCTCACACACCTTTAGGAACATGTACAAAAATATTAGAGGTTTAGTTGGGAAGTGATATTGCATCTCGTATACAGCCCAAACCCTGCACCATCGTACTATCATTTATTTTGAAGTTTACAAAACTTCTTAAATGGTAAAAATTTTAGTAATAACAATAGCCTCAAAATGCACTTGGTTCAGATTTTCAGCTGCTAAAGACCAGAAGTTCTAAGAGTGCGGAATCATGAAGTTAACAGAAAGATGGTGAAAGTTCACCAAATGGAATGGAAGATATATGACTGATTCACTTTTTTATAGAAAAAAATGAGTTCTATTTCGCACACAAAAATCTGGAATTAGTTTTTCTCAACCCAATACAATGAATGAATGCAGTATATATGATGATTAATGTGTGTAATACCAAGGCTGTGAACAGTGCAAAAGTTTTGTTCTATTCATGCACACAATAATCTGCTTTTGTTAAAAATAAAAAGAAAGAACATATGTGGCATCATATACATTACACTACAAAGTCTTTAATCCGGACTCGCCGGGACTTCGGCGATTCCGGATTATAGATCATCAATTTAAATCTGGTAAGATGGCATGCAGAAATTATAAAATTAAAAATATGAAACCATAATTTATGAAACAAAGAGCAATTATGATCTAAAGGGTATCAAAATGTACCAAAAAAAACTTTATATTTATTTGTTTACTTTATTAAACATTTCTTTCAATGTAAGTTGTTTAAGTTGCTTCGTTTTTTGTGCTAATACTTTCTCTTTAATTCTATAAACAGACATAATACTATAGCAGTTTAAAAAGTAGTCACTAACATTCAACAAAAAAGCAAATGCACACTATTTGTTCTCACTTGAAAATTCATCATTTCCTTAAAAGTTTTTCAAAAATATCAAAAGTTTATTTATAAAATAAGAAAATTCACAGCTAATTCAGGCAAGTTGAATGTGAAAGCAATTTAGAGATTAACTAACATTTTTAAAGCAACCAATGTGTTAGTTTGTTTAAATAAATTTAAGACAAAAATATTATTCCCACAAGGTCAAAATTTTCATTTTTAGTGAGAGGAAAGTTTTATTTCCTGTGTTGTTTATAAATAAAATAAAAGTAACTCACTTATTTGACATCCTTGCTGACTTCCCATCATTAGCAACTGATGCAAGCTTTCTGCACCTGTAATTCTCATAATGTACATTGTTTGTAACATCCTTCAGATCTTGCATATGTGTCCTGAAATACCAAATATACCATAATAATTATTAAAACAATAACATATGGCAAAAGTATTCTATAGTTACATTTTAATTTATATGTAACGTGGCTTTAAAAAAACACATAAACATAAAGATTAATATACACTGGAAATCCAATTTTAACCATTATAATAACAAAGCATATCTCCTGAAGATAAAATTGACTGTCTAGATAATAAGGTCTTCAGCAAATATATCTAGTTTCAACACTGCCTGTAATAACTTTTGTTGAAATATTGTCTCTGTGATGGCACTGACATGAGGATGGTATGCATCACATAATTATTTTTCATTGGGTGGAAAACTTAAAAATTAAATTTTTATGTTAAAAAAAAAAAGAATTTGTAATGCCAAAGGCTATTCGTGCAACTGAATAATAAAATCTAATAATCAAGTTGCACTGTCAAAAGTATAAGCTTTACACATTTATCATGGACACTCCACACTTTTATTATTTGTGATATAAAATTGTAGATGAATTTTGTAAAGAGAATTATTTAATCTTACTCCCATTAAACTACATGATGCATTATTTTTCTACTTTTAGTTCATTAATTATTTTATGAGTTTTAAATTAAAACTTATTTTACAAAAACTTTATTTTTAAATTATAGAACTGCAAATTTTGGAATAGTGTAATTTTAATTCTGTATTAAAGAAGCAACCTAGAAATGAAATTTTCCATGAGAGCAGTGGGAGGATCAGCAATTTACTACTATGAACAACAGACAGCCAGTGAGATTTATCAGAGATTATATCCATAGATGTTATTAATTTTGTAGAGTGACTGTCCACTTAATTACCACAGCAAAGCCTACCAAAACTATTTGGCTACCATAGGAAATACGTCTTTGAAGAGGACTTTTCACGGGAAACTGGCTAAAATTTGTTACGGACAGGAAAAAGATCATGATAATATCATGTAGCTATGGTATGCACCAGGATCTGAACTTTAAAAAAAATCCTCTCCTTAGTAACTAGAAATATATAAAAAACAGTTATGCTATTTAAGCAATAATAATAATTAATGAAAATAAGGATTGCACTGGACTTTAAATACACCTTCCCAATTTAATATAATCAAAGTTACCAAAACAGAAGTGTAAATAATATCAATAATATATATTCAAATTTATTTCTAGTGCAATTCGTGTAAAAAATGTTTACACAAGTTACTAGTCAACATAATCTTTATCTCAGCTAGTAAGTTTCAAAAGCTCAGTAACTTATAGCTGAATTTTATTTCAATCAAATACCAAAAATCCGCCAACCTGAAATCCGCGTAGCCTCTCAAAATATAAACATTCCGTTTATAGGTTTCCGAAACCCCAACATAGACTACGAAATATCGAAGAAAAAATACTTACCGAATAATGACATCATAATTATCGAATAAAATGAGTCATAATGGAAATACCAAATTATTGACATCATAATAAAAGTTTTTTCCCTCCAGTCAGCATAGAGGTAAAAAAAGCAGGTGATTCGCTTAAATCTTCCTTCAAGTACACGATTCACGTTGTACTTTCTGAGCTTTGTTATTTCACGAGATTGTTTAGCACTGCCCTTTTTTTTTTTAATCCAGATATTTTGTGGATAAATTAAGAATATTTTAAATATCAGTGCTTTTTAATACAATGACAGATAAAAATGCACTCATGATTTTACTGCTTGCAACGTTGAAAAACGTAATCACGTTGCATTGACGGTAATAGAAAAAGTGGACATTCTGCAAAAGATGAAAGACAGATGCTACTCCTCAGTTTACAGCAGAATCATATGGAATTGCAACACAGACCGTGTATGATATATGGAAAAATAAAGAAAAGCTGTTAAAGTTTGACAGCAACAGTGATTTTAACACTGGAATTTGAAACCGGAAATCTTTACACGAGGCGAAATCAGGAAACCTCGATGTCATCTCGTACAAGTGGTTCCAGCAGTGGCTCGAGTGATGGAGTACCAATTTCAGGACTGCTCCTGAGAGAAAAGGGGAAGCAGAGTCATGCTGATTTAAAAATAGAGAAGCCTATATATAATCAATTTATATATGTAATAATAATTTAATGCATATAATAAATTATTGTAATAATGTATATAATAATTTAATTAAATGTATTTAATACGCCTTATTTATTTTGCACTTTTAGCTTGAATAACATGAATTATCTTTCCTGTCCCAAAATCCACAAAATCCTAAAATCCGCACAACCTCTGGTCCCAAGCTCTGCGGATTTCTGGACTTCTACTGCACTTGATAATACCTTATAGCATACTATCTGTAAGCTTAATCAGTTAAAATATTATACTTACAAGTTTTATAAAAGTGGATCAATTAAGACTATACAATAATCACAAATATTCTCATTAATCACAGTAAAAATATTTAAAAAAATTCAGTACTGTTCTGTTATCAGGACCGGATTCAGACATGTATGGACATATGCATGTGCATACATGTGCATATATGTGTATATGTATACACACATACATCCGTACTTATATACATGAATACATACATCTATGCATATGTGCATACATACATACACTTCTAAACCCAGTCCTGATAACAGAACAGTACCAAAAATTCTTTAAATGCCACTGGAAATGCAAAAATCATCTTGAAGTTTATTCTTGTGATTTTATAATAAAAAATTAGATTTATTTATCATTTTCTCATAAGTTTATAAGAAAGACGAGATCCCTAAAAATTTTATGATATTTTCTACAAACAAATTTCCAGCCTTCTTAAAGCATTATACTTAACACATAAACATAAAGATTAACCTAGTCCTACCAGCTTTCAGACTGGCATACTCCAAGGTGATCAGACATCCCGCTTTTGGCAGGACAGTCCTGATTTTTAATAATCTGGCCTGCAACGTTTTAAAAAAAGCTTTGAAGCACGACAAGCTAGGGAATGGGGGGGGGAGAACAGAAAGAGATTATACCATTATATATATAATATATAATGGTTTCGGCTGCCACGTGGCTATTTTGCTAGGATACGAGTTTTATATTATTTTTGTTAATTTTAGAATATTAAACTTTAATAATAAAAAATAATTGATGAGAATGGATTGTCGAGAACTGCTTATCAAAGTTTGCATTGTTGATCAGTTGTTAGAATTCGATCACCATTGTTTGGACTTAATGAACAATAGCATTTTTTGGCATTGGTGAGGACTAAAACATCTTGTAACGTCTCTCAGATGATACACATTGTACTAGTGCTAGTTAAGCAAGTGATGTTAACAAATGATGAGCTATTCAGATAATTTAGGTGAGTAACTGATTTCATAAATACATAAATTTCCTTGAATTTAGCAGACATTGCTCGTATTATTTATATTTTATAGTGGCAGCAAAAAGTCTAGCGCCAACCTTGAAAGTGACACTTACAACTTATATTATGGAAAATTCAGAGATAAAATAATACAAGTTAGTATTGCTATTATTTAGAAAGATATATTAAAATAATTTTAAAAATATAGTTACTTTATAACAAATTAATTTAATTTATAAAACTAATAATAAAATATGTTCATGTAATTATGTACCTATTTATTGTGTTTTAAGCAATATAAATATAATAATTTATAATATAGTTTTAAATAATTTTTTTAAGATTTTTAACATAATAAGTAAGAAAAAGAGGATGCAAATTCAACGATGATCTAGAATGTGAATTACCTTTTATAAAAAAAAAAAAAAAAAAAAAAAAGTGATTACATAGTAAAATGTGAGAAATGTAATGGTGAATTTTCTATTTCCCATGGTGACACAGAATGATATTTCAAAGCACTTGGAGACACAGAAACACAAAAGATGTTTAAAAACTGCTGCATTTTCACCCAAAATACAGGATTTTTTTTTTTTTTTTCTGAAAAACAACTTATGAAGACAAAGAAAAGAAATTAGCATTAGCAGAAGGTCTTGTCTCTTTTCATGCCATTATTCCTTCAGGTCTATGGACTGTACATTACAAGTTGTCCAAAAGTTATTCAACAAAAGATTTGCCTGTGCCAAACAAAATCCGGGACAATTGTATGCAATGTGCTTTTCCCATATGCATTTTCAGAATTAAACAAAAATCTAGAAAAAACTAATTTTATATCCATATATTCTGATGCATCTAATCATAAGAATATAAAGTTATTTCCAACTATTATTAGATTTTTTGATTCGGAAACTGAAATAAAAATTAGAATTTTAGATTTTGTTTCTTTGCCCAGCGAAACTTCTGAAATAATTTTCAGTTCCATTATTAATATTTTGGAAAAAACAACTTAAAACATAAAATGAGTGCATACTGTGCAGAGAACATGATCACAAATTTTGGAGGAAAAGCAAGAAGAGGTACAAATAATATTTTTTTATAAATTAAAAACTGATTGGTGTTGGTTGTGCAGCACACATAATACATAATGCCATTCAAACAGCTGCTGACTTGTTGCCTGTACGTGTGGAAAATACTGCTATTAAAATATATTCTTATTTCTATAAATACACTGTGCGTGTTGAAATGCTTAGAGAATTTTGTGAAACCGCGGAAGTCCAACATCAGAAAATAATATTTGGATACAGTAAAATGCACTGGTTAGCTCTTTTGCCAGCTGTCGAAAGAATTTTGAAAATATATGATCCTTTGAAATCCTACTTTCTATCACAGGATAAATGTCCTAGAATTTTAAAAGAGTTTTTTTGAAAAAAAAAAAAAAAAAAAAAACTTCCAAAATTTGGCTACAGTTTGTACACAATCAAGCAGCTCTTTTTCAAAATGCTATAAAACTTATTGAGAGTGACAAAATTTTAGTAATTGAAGTTGCAAATGGAGTTAATAATTTAAAATTTCAGTGTCAAGAGCAGTTAGAAAATAATTTTCTTTCGCTAACTATTCGTAATAGTATAAGCCAGCTAGAAGAACAAGGTGCAATAAATCTTGCAGATATCATGAATCACGTTAAAAAGTTCTATAGTAACTGCATAGATTATTTAGAAGAATGGATGGAATATTACAATGATATTAAACATTTTCACTGGGTTACATTAAAGCAAGAACTTAATTGGAATGATGTGCAAAAATCATTCGATCATATTATTCAAAATTTCCCATATAGTAATATTTCCTGAAATGATCTTTTTAATGAGGTATGATTATTAAAAAATATATATTTAAGGAAAAGGTTAAATATCGAGCATCAGCAAAAATTACAATAGAGAAGAAATGGTTAGAAATATTTCATCATTTTGAAACATAGCATGTTCCATACAATAATGTACTAAAAATTGTGGAATGTCCTTACCAGGAACTAATGCTGCGAATGAACACGTTTTTTCTAGGGTAAATAAAGGGTGTACATCAGAAAAATCCCAATTAACTGTTGACACTTTGAAAAGCATTTTATATGTGAAATATAATTTAACAAATTCTTGTGAAACATTTCATGACCTTTTAAAAATGACAGCAATTTACTAAAAACAATTCGCTCAAATACAAAAGAATATAATAATTATGCCAAAGAATAAAAAAATACTATACATAATTTTTTAATATATTATATTTGTAAATTGTACTTATGTTGAAATTAAAATATATTACCATACTATTTTTGCATTCTTTGAACATTTTAGTTGCTCCATATAGAACAAATTTTTAATCAAGACCCCCCCTGGGTCAATGGTGTCCCACTTTACCAATGTTAAAATCTGGTCCCCTTAGTATACTCCTTTTTCTATTAGCCAAATTTTATACAATCAATCAATAAGTATGAAAAAAAGAGCCATTTTGCTCTACATTTATCAAATGAATTTAGAAGTTTTTGTTATTTAAAATAATGACATACATATAACATGAAAGATATTAAATAATATACTTTTACATAAAGATTATTTTTGATTTAAATTTTATTATATTACAACTCTATGTAAAAGGTAGTAAAACTATTTTTTTAATAAATGTTATTAGTTTTAAGTTATGTAAGGCTAAATTTTGCCTACTGAACAATAACAACGTAGAAGCCAAAGAAATCACCACCAGATCATATAAAAAAAAGAAAGGCTTCAGATTTTAAATTACGTCCAAAGGGACTTTTTTTTTAACGTTTGGTGTGTTACCTTTATTTATTAAATATCACATTCTTTGCACTTAAACCATAAAATTCAGTTCAATAGCAATGTCACAAAATAATTTTAAAATGAGCATATCTTTAGGATTCTGATACACAGTTCCTGCACACTGGAGATAAAAAGGTTTATTTTCCCCCCGTAGAATATTACCATTGCTCGCTTTTAAATCATTAAGTTTGTTACTCAGAAAAAATTGTTAAAGTTTTACAAAATATGAAATCGATAATAAAACAAATTCCAAATTTCAAATTTGAAATTGCCACATGTCCATATTTGTAGGAGGATTACGTCATTCAAAATTCGATGGCTTTATGTACCGTTGTTTTATCACAATGCGAGAAATATACATAATTTATGCAGATTTTTCATTATTTAATTTCTTCAAACATAATGCAGGACTCATTTGCAGTTTAAAAAGTAAAATGAACATTTATAGCGATTCAAAACAAAATGAAAACAGTCCCTATTAGTCCTTCAGAGACAAAGCCCCTTTGGACTTTCAGTCTCCCCCATCAGAGACATTCCATTTTAAAATGTACAACAACCTTATATGAAACCATAATAAAATAATGTGAATGGGCGACAATCCTTCACGCGGATTCTTACTAATGAAGTCGAGGGAGCAACTAAGAAAGCTACATTTTATAGCAATTTTCCTTGCAGTTCAGCTTATTAAGATTATTTTACTATTTCATTCTGCATTTTATTTTCAGTGCAATTAGCTGAATATCTTCTAATCATTTCTAATATATTTCAGCATGGCACAGATAACACAGCTTATAATCAAAGAAACTGATAAGAAAGCTATTTTAAATATTATAACTGTAACTCTCATAATGGAAGAAGACATTTGAGTATTCAGAGCAGAAAGATTTAGATTAGAAATTGTCTGGGGAGTTTAAAATTTTCCTCCAATGGATACTATTGGCATATTGTATATCACTGGTTCTTAAATGTTTTAATTCTTTTGGACCAAGGATTTCATTTTTACATTTAACTATTCTGTAGTTAATGAGATTAGAAATGTGACATATGAAAAATACCAATTAAGGAATGAGGCACTTCAAAAAGAATAATTATAAATATGCTATTTTCAGCTCAGAAAGAGAAATCACCAAACTAAAATGCTTTAGCAGCTTTTATAAATTAAAATGTTATTTTACAGTATATTCGTTTATTATTTACATGAGTAAAATGCATGTATGTTTGCTATTCGTATGAGCAAATTTTATGCATTTAGGGGGCTCAGTGAATGCATTATAAACATTTTTTTGCTAGTATGTATAAGCATCATATAATTTAAGAACTTGCTTAATAAATATAACTTACCTAATTAACATATTTCTAAGAGCTAGGAAGTCACAATGTTCCATATTTTCAACTGGAAAAAAAAAAAAAAAAAAAAAAAAAAAAAAAAAAAAAAAAAAAATTATTAATTAGAATATTTTTGTATCTTACCTTTTTAATTATATATATACATACATTAAATGTGCATTAACATAAATCTGCTTCTTTGGAGATTTTAGTTTCACGCCAGAATTTACTATGATTATGATTTCTTTGAATTCTGCTGTACAATACTATTTTCAACACAATGATATTTCAAGTTTTTGCACCTTTTTTTCTTTATATTTAGATTTCTTTTCCCTTGACTTGCACAGAAAGAAATGATTAGGCATCTTATAGCCCATAATGTGAAATTCAACAATAAACCTTAACTTGAGAGAATGAGCTACAATGTGCAAAATTCATTCTAATCCAGACATTATCATTTCAAAGGCTGACAAAGGTGGCCAGATGGTCATCATGGACAAGAACACTTACATCGATGGTGTCACCAAACTCTTAAACATATAATCTAAACCCTAAAGACCTTTCACCTTCGGACCTCTCAAAAATAAAAACTGCAATAAAATCTTCATAAATCCTTTAGATCAACTTAAAGCAATTGCTTATCCCATCTGTTGCGAATTGTGCCAGATTATATTTCTAAAATTCATAAAAGTGGTATTCCTCTCTGTCCTATTGTATCAAATTTAGGCACTGTTAGACCCATTAGCTAAATATTTAGTTTCTCGATTTTCAACTCTATTAGGTAATAACATTTACACCATAATTCAATAGAGTTTGTAAAAAAAAAAAATTAAAGCATTTCTCCTAAAAATTTACTCATGGTTTCTTTTGATGTAAAATCATTATTCACCAATGTTCCAGTGGAGTGCATTAAGATGTCTTGAAACCAGACTTTGTGAATTTCATTTCTCCTGCATTGATATTGATGAGCTAATTACCCTTACTCAACTCTGTTTGAAACAAATGCATTCTGTTTTCCAAAATAAGTATTATAAGCAAACTGAGGGATTAGCCATGGGAAGCCTTTTCAGTCACATCCTGGCTGATATCTTCATGCACTATTATGAATCAAAATTATTTGAAACTTTAAACTTCCCAGTATGGTTCTGCTATGTAGACAATACTTCTACCCTGTTTGATGGTCACAAAGGTGATTTAAATAAAGTTCTTTCAATAATTAATCCCATTGATCCTGCTATTCAGGTCACTTGAGACATGCAATTCTCTTCTGTTCCTCGACATTTTGGTCACACATAACACATCTAACTTCAGAACTACTGTTTACCATAAACCTTAATCAACATTTTCCTCAACATTTTGGTCACACATAACACATCTAACTTCAGAACTACTGTTTACCATAAATCGTAATCCGTTTGCCTTCCACCAAACTTCAAATCATGTCATTTAAATCAATCATGTCCAAATCATGTCAAAAGTTAGCTTCATTTTATTCCTTTGTTTTCCATGCACTTCAAGTGTGCTTTTCCAAACTGGCTTTTGATCAAGAACTAAATTATTTAAAAGCAGTTACTATTGACAGGGGTTTTTCACCCAACATTATTAATCAAGCAGTTAAAACGTTCCCGTCTCAACACACCAAAAGGTACACTCTGGTTTTAGGAGATTATAAGAATTCTGTTGTCCTTCATTTCTTTCTATTAATTTGCTACAATGTATGTATTTTACAGTATTTTGCATGTATTTTACAGAAATTTAACTTTTTGTTCGTTTATTCTCCTATCAATAAAATTCCCAGTTCCATACGTAAGAACCCATTCTGGATATGAATTCCTGGAGTATTTACAGGATTCCTTTCCAACGTGGTTTAATTTACATTGGTCAAACCAAGACAGCCTTAAAATTTCATATTAAAGAACATGAGGCATATGTTTGGAAAAAGGAAACACAGAAGTCCTCTGTTGCCCAGGACTGTTGGTCTGAAAAACACTCCATTGGTGAATTAGATTTTCTAGCAGCATTTCACATTAAACAAAAATCTTTCTCTTCTAGTTAACAATCCTAATTCCAATCCATCTTTACCTTTAGCCTTTAAAGAAATTATTTTTTTTAGTTTTCTTGTTTCATCAATAGATGGCACCAGTAACTTAATTCCTGTCCAGCCATTCTTATCACCATATCTTATCTCGTTCATTTGCACTTTGGCAGCTGAGGATGATGGTTTTGTAAAACCATCAAAACTAGTCCTGGAAAATTCGCGAATATAACGCAGATTTTTGCTGTTTGACTTCTAAATTAGTTTTTCATTAGTTAAAAATAAAAAGCTTCATGTCTTTAAGCTTTTCTAACTATCTTCTTCAAAATTAAAATGTAGTCAGCAAAAAAGACCCAGGTATATATTCAAAAATATAGAAAATTTTTCAATTGCAGTTGTTTTCCAAATTTCACATATCTTGAATTTAATTCAGATATTGACTTAAAAAAGTTAACGTAAAGCTGTCATTGTCAGATATCTTTGCCAATTTTGCACATTAGGATATACATTTTTTAAAAAAAAATTACCATATACATTTATTAATTTCCGTAAAATTCTTTAGTTATGCCTCATTTAAAAAACTATTTGGGAATACATACCTGTAGTCAATATTTAAGAAAATAAATCCCACAGTTATCCTGCTTTTGAAGTCCAACAGAGCAGAGCTGTAATATGTTGTTCCTGCAGTGATAATTTTCTAGCAGGTATTGTTCAGTATTTCTGGTCCCAGCTGAATCTATATAAATTCCCCAAGCTATTTATAAAACTAAATAAAAACGTCTAGAAACATTTTCTCACATCATTTGTAAATCTTGTTCCCAGCGCAGTGTTTTAGCCCTCGGATTTTTTTAAAATAAACTTTATAGAAAAGGATAAAACTACTTGCATCTAGAGATAGCAGAACTTCAGAGAGACAAAGAAGGTAAAAAGTAACAATAGAAGGTGTTTGGTTTCACTGACAAAATTTTACAAAAATTTAAGACATTTTCCTCCGTACAGAGCAAGGGAAAAAAAAAAAAAAAAATGCTGAGTTATGCGTTAATTATTTGCAGGATCTCTTCTTTGAATTATAAATCTGGCAACATATTTATTGTAGCAACATTTCACATGCGGCCTTCAGCTCAAAGTCCACATTAACAACATCATTTCTAAATATAATTTCACTGCAAGTTACAATGCATTTATTTCTGTTATTTTTCAGTCATTTATTTCTCTTAGTTTGAGGGCTTTCAGGATCAGTTTTTAGTTTAGATCTACAAAGAACATATAGGGAGACAAAAATGAATTTGAGAAGGAGCCAAGCTTTACGAAGACTTCTAGAGAGCTTAAAAAATAAATTGTATTTTTCTTAATGCACAAAGTGCGAGCAATGCAGACTATAAAAACATTTTAAGCCTCATAATGCTATATTTTCAGCTGTGACAAAATTCAGCCCAAAAAGCCAATAACAATGTGATTAAAAACATCAATGTAGATCTTTAATGCAGAGAACTCAAGCTGAAAGCAACAACTGTTTACGACATGTGACATTTTCCCGGTTTAATTCTTTTGCTATATTCATAAATTTTTTTTTCATCCATTCTCTCCAGAAATAAAATTAAGGATACATGATTTTATGACTCTATATGATTTTTATAAAGTATAATTTTCTGAATTTAATCAAAAAGTGCACTATGACCAAAAGAATGACATGTGAAATGTTTTGTTGCGAAACACTTTGTTTTTTGTTTTGTTTGTTTGTGTGTTGTTTTTGCTATTTGAAGATAGCAAAATACAATTACCTTCAGCAATGCCCCATGGATATCTTCTTCCTCTTAGGCGCTTCCCATTAACTTCAATTACAGTATTGCTTCCAACTACAGCAAATGGCACTCGCTCCTTAGATACAGATGAAAGATGAGAATTAAAAAGGAGGAAAATACATTGCATACACAAGCATACTACTTGAAAAACAACAAGGAGTTTTAAAAAAAATCATATTTTTTTAATGTTTAAAACAGGACCTATGCTTTGTGTAAAAAATTATTCTGAGGATTAAAAAAATTAAAATTTATATTACCTTTAAACATTTTTGTATTTTACTTTCTTCTTCATTATCACATTCAGGAAAATCATATATATTTATTTTGTTCCTAGAAATTTCTCCTAAAATCTAAAAAGGGGAAAAAAGCAATTTGTGACAAGTTATAAAAAAAAACCTTCATATAACCACATAATAATACATATTATGCTACGATTTGAAAGTCTGATTTTTAAATATGCATTGTTACACAGGTACAGGCAGAAGAGGGCAGGATACCAAAAATTTACCATTGGTCATTCCAACCACACTAATTGATTACTCATTCTGATGAGCTATGACCACCAAACAACACATAATGCAACAAATTAATTTATTAAATTAAAATAATTTATTTTAAATTATTTGTTTCATTTATAGGATTATTTGAAATTTATTAATTGTGAATTTCAATTTTTGGTCTTTGAAAAATTAGTTCTAAATTTTTTACTTTATAATATAATTTTTAAGCAGCTTAATGCACGGAAATACTAGGCATGTTTATATTTTTTAATTGTTTTACAACTATATATATCAGAATCACCAGAATTTCTAATAGTTTTTGCACTAATAAAATTTAATCATGGACATCAATCTTCAAGATAGGTAAATAGACCAAAAGATTACATACAGTTTAAAACGTGGCACATACAAGGGTTGTACGTACATATGATTTCTCAAGTTAAGAATTTCTGGATTTGAGGGAGTAAAAAATTCAAAATTCTAGCTATATCTGTATAACAGTCACTTCTGATTATTGTTAATCACTTATTTTGGTTTTACTAAACATTAAAATACAAAAGGCAAGTCTGCAAAATGACAATCTACCCAAAGCAAGCGATGCTGATATCCTTCTAGGTAATGCCCCATATTTTTATTTTTTCAAAGCTTTGTTACATTTTATTGTTTTTCACTTGTTTATGGTTTTATGTGTTTGATTTTTTAGGTTTTCAGTTTTTTAATTATTTTTCACTTTTTTAACATACATTAATTTTATATACTTGACAAATCCTTCAGAAATATCTCCTAATTACATTTTAATATTTAATAAAAATGAATGGTCAGTGGCAGTTTTCTGAAGCCCACTATATATATATATATATATATATATATATATATATATATATATATACTTACAATTCTTTTAAATGATGCACACTCTTCTGGTGTCATGCTGTCAGCTTTAGCTACAACTGGAATAATATTAACTTTGTCATGTAACCTCTTCATAAATTCCACATCCAGAGGCTTTAACCTAAAATTAAAAATAATTCAATAAAAAGTTAAAAAATTATACGCATATGCACATATATAAATACATCTATGCACTCATATATGGAACTTAAGCCAGCTACATTATGATAAACAAAAGTTAAATTAGATATAATTTATACTGTACTTACAGTTAGTACTTAATAACAAAAATAGCTTTAAAATATGGACTGATGAAAAATTCATAAATACTGGACTGATGAAAAATTCATGAATACTGGACTGATGAAAAATTCACACACTATACCTTCCCCTTCCCCCCAAAAAAATGTTGAAGAAACAAAAATATTGCTAAGTAATAATTATCAAAAAATCTTTTCATTGCAGATTAAAATTAAATTAATATATTTAAAACAAATTTATAACAGCCTATCGTAAATCTAACACACAAAAATTCATACTAGTGCAATGGCTGCAGCTATTTTCTGACAGCCACTTTTAAGGGAAGTTGAACATGACCTACGTTCACATACAGTTCGCAGCTCTTCATTTCGTACAGTGTTGGTCCAAAAGGAAAGCATTATTTGAAATCACCGTTTCTGAGAAAGACTGGGAGTGTGGGAATTCAGTGCTCAAAGTTCCCATAAATCTCACTGCATACTTTTATTGTAGGCCAGCCATCCATTGCTGACCATCCCCACATATGATAACAGATCACACTCTAAGAAAGATTCTGCGAATTTTCAAGGAAATTTTCTGAGGTTTGTAAATATCGAAACCACAAACAAAGTGAATTCACCAAATGACAGATGCTCAGGAAATTTCAGCCGGATAAGAATTCAGGAATTCCAGGAAAAAACTTTGCAGCATCAGCCCTGGAAGCATAAAGAAGAAGTTAGAAGGAGGAGAAAGAAAGCTGGGTAAACTGCTGCTGGATTTGAGCAACCTGCTAGGAGTTAATTTTCTTCCCCATCCCCAACCAGGATCAGCTAGTAATTGCCAGACATTGTATAAGGCCTCCCTAACTTGCTCTGCATTTTTTTCTCATAAGACCCCCCCCCCCCAAATAACACTACTAGAATCAAACACCACCCAGCAGTATAGTGATTAGTGAAGCTAACTGCTATACTGATGAGCTCAGGTTCTAATTCTCAAAGCATGCATATTTGTTAGTTTATGCAGTAGAAAGTCTGAAATCCGAATGTCCAGTATCTGGAAAGATCTGAAATCTGGAACCCTGTACTACCAGCAAACCTTTTTTTTTTTTTTTTTTTCCTAAATTTTTGTGCATGTTTTACTTTTGTGCATTTGATATTTTTTCATAATAAAATATGTGAGGAGTTGATTCACAATTTCACTTCACTAAAATAGTTACATAGTGAAGAAACAAAAACTTATTCGCATAAATCTGCATGATCAATAATTTGCCATTGTAACCGCTTTATGCTTGGCTTACATCTCAAACCAAAACAATGTTGATTTTACATCTGCTGAATAATTTGTATCCCTGATGCCAACCTAGTTAGCTAATCATTACTTATTAATTTTTGCTTTCATTACCACATCTCTATCAATACAGGGCAACTTGAGAAATCGCATCACACAGTGATGCCTAGACTTTTTTTTTTTTTTTTTAATATTAGTAACTGAATACCGGAGCATGGTAACCTTATGCTGACAATACAATTAGTGATGATTACAGATTTAACCTAAATGTTGACTATTTTGACGAGGAGAAATTTAAGAGAAATTTCTTTCCATATGCAAAAAATAGATTTTGTAAATGATACTCATAGGCAAAAAGATTACATTTGATGCTGTTTGAATTGAGAATAACTGATTTGTTATTCAAATAAGCCCAGAGCTGATGCAGAAGAATTTCAGGAAGGTAAAGTTTTTAAAATTTAGAGAAGTGCCAAGCAACAAATTTAGACAGTGGGTAAATCTTCGAAATTTAGGGAAAGCGCTAGGATGCAAAGTTTTGAAGTGGTAAAATGTTTAGAGTTTAGGGAAGTGCCTGGTAACAGAATCAAGAACCCATGAAATATTTAATATGTATGCACGGGAATGCACAGGTGTTGGCCTTGCTTCAACCTCTGCCAGAGTCAAACACCTGTTTGAGAGTTTAATTTCAACAAGCTTAGCTGCTTCCAACAATTCGGTGAACCTCTGAATTTAAATATTCCTCTTCAGTGCAAAGAACTTTATACTGTAAATTATTTATGCTTAGCCTAGAATTCAAATACATTAAATACTATTCTTTGCAAATCCCTACAGTAACAGTATTTAGTACCATTTTTATGTATAACTTACCCATGTCCCGAGGGAGCTATAAAATATAGACAGCAGTGCACTCTTGTGTCTGGAGAAAAGCTCCTATGAACTCGGGATTCAGCATTTAAGTATTCTTCATATTTATTTTCAATGTAATCAATTATTGGCTGCCAACTAGAATGAAAAGAAAAAAGTCATATTTAAAAAATGCAAATATTAAAAGCATACATAATAATACAAATAAGTAAGATTTTATGAATGCAAGCAAAAATGTCGAAATATTTTGGATGGCAGAGTTACATTTTTTAAGAAACTGACAAATTGCAGAATTGAAAAACAAAAAGGAATTAAATGACATATTTATAACTTAAAAGTTGTTTCAATAGAATTTTCCATATTATATCACCACATAGAAATATATATATATAAATTTGTTTAAACCATGTTACAGTTCCATTAACTTCTAAGAAGGAGTATTATGTGCCAATCATAATATTAATGCAAAGAAATAAACATTCTTCAGCACTATTTGAACATATCATAGTTTTTACTGCAACAGGCTGCTATGCAGAAAGTAGGCCAGTGCTTCCCAATCTTTTTTGCACATCATGACGCACCTTACAAGCATAAATAATTTCACAGCACTATATGAAGGAACATTTTTCTATTAACATCATAAATTTCTTCACTTCATACTAGAAATTCAATTAAAATTTTTTTCTTTATAATATTTTTGTTTTATAATACATAAACATTTCAACTTTGTATTCATTTCAAATAAGTCTTCTAATGAAATCATAACACAAAATAAATTAAACAAAAAGGAATGAAAATAATTAATCCATACATCTGCAGTGATTGCTATTAAATATAGTTTTTATTCTAAATATATGAAACAAACTATCAGAATGTATAGAGAGAAATTGTGATTAAAGTTTTAGAATGCTTATTTTGCAAAATTATTATTTGAAAATATAAAAGTAAAAAGTTAAATGTATACAAAAATTATTTACTGCGCATAAATATCCTATTACTGTAATTTACGGAAGAAGCGCCGCAGCATTTATATGTTTAAAACTAAAATTTTCAGCGGGTGCGACATTTCTACCCATGCGGCACTTAGGTGCACTAAAAAAAAATTTCCTATGATGTCATTGTGCAGTTTGAATGACCTTGTCATTGTACATAGATGGGTGTTGTTCCCACAGAAAAGACCACTCAGTTGCTTTCTGTGAACTTTATTTTGTTTACATTCTTTCCCTCGAACGGACCTACGTGCCTTATTCACCCTAAACGGGATCTCAGAACAATAATGTTCTTCCCTCTTTCAAATCAACATTCTCATCAGTTTGAATAGTCTCTCTTCTCTGCCATTCGATGAATCTTCCAGGACCCATCCTCTCCCCACCCCTGCCTTATCCATTGTAAATCTACAGCAATTTTTTTCAAAGGCGGACACCACCTGCATTGCAATAATGAATTCTGACGTATTTCCCCTTCACGAATCGATTTTTCTTGGCATTCTACCAGATACAGATCCCATCAGTTTGTGTGTAGTGATTATGGCAAAGCCTCGAGGGCTATCTGCCTACGGGAAGGGATGCCTTCGTGGAGGACTTTCTAAGGGAAACTGGCTTGCATACATGTTACACATGGGGAAAACCACGAAAACGCCCATGCAACCAGCCTGTTCATGGGATTCGAACCTCGGACCGAACTACCAGTGTTCAGCGACTTTACTGCTCGCCCGCTAGTGGGCCCCATCAGTTTGGGTACAAGTACTTGTTGGATAGTTTTTAAGTATGAAGGGAGTGGAAATTTTTTTAAAATGGCACCTAAACAGCACAGAAGCTATATGCTGCTGGTTTTAACCCTGCAATGGAGGAGCCGGCGTACAAAGTACGCTAATGTCATCTTTTGGACTGTAATTTTTAGACAACCTCTTCCTGAGCTTCCTCCCTTCGTCTACCCTCCTAGAAACATTCCATGAGTGCAATTCACCTAGTATTTCCGGTCAGTCTGGTTTTCGCTTTCCTTCCGAAAGCAGTTATTGTGAACATGTTGCGTAGGCGAACGCAATACGCCACCCCTCCAAGTATGTACAGAAAGAATATTGTACCTCCTGAAGATTATTTGCATGTTTTAGAAGAAGTCTCGGTTGATGAAGACTCTGACAATTTGGATAACGCATCTGATGTCGATGAATCGGAAGTCATCGAACATTCTGATCATGAAAGGGACTCAGAAATTGAGGGAAATGTTTCTAAACATCCTCATTTTCCTTCCTCAAATGATGTTTTCTCAAGAAATGACGATTTTAGCGATATTGAAAATGACATGAGTGATTTAAAATATGAGGACATTTTTGTAAAAACAATTTACAAAAAGAAGAAAGTTGGGGGAAAGTTTCTGAAAGAAGAAAAGGAAACTTTTAAGTGGAATAAAGTTCCCCTCAAGAGCAAATTCGCCAGAACGCCTCGAAAAAATTTGATGAAAGAAATCTGCCCAAGTGCCAAAACTTGTGACGATATAAATGATGAGCTTTATGCTTTCCAGAAAATCATAAATACAAATATGATTGATGCTATCGTACAATATACAAATATTTATCTCAAATGTAACAGGACTGCAGATGATCTCGAAAACATCTCAAAAAGAAGCATGTATGATACTAATAGAGCAGAAATTTTGGCCTTTTTAGGAATTTTATTTTTATTAGGGTGCAGAAAAATGTCAAAACTCAATTTGGAGGAAGCATGGGCAAAAGACGATACCTGGAATTGAAATTTTGCAAGGAGTATTCAAAAGGATATGACAATTGTCTCAAGCGATTTAGAAACCTGTGCGCTGCTATAGATTCGATGATAAAGCCACAAAGTATGTGCAAAGATACTGATAAGCTTGCTGCACTAAGAGAATTTTTTAATCTTTCAATCAGAACTGTCAAAACTTTTATACACCAGGTGACAAACTCACAATCGACGAGAAGTTGGAACCCTTCCGCAGGAGATGCTCTTTTATTCAATTCATCCCCGACAAGCCAGCAAGGGATGGTCTGAAAATTTTTGCAGTTGTTGACTCCCAAATGTTTTACACATTGAAGCTTGAAATTTACTTGTGGCAATCAACCCCTAGGACCTTACGAGGCTTCTAATTCAAGTATTGACATTGTCAAAAGGCTAATTGGTGCGCATACGAAGGTTCCAACTGTAACCTGATGACCGATAATTGATATACAAGCTACCCTCTAGCTCAATATCTTCTTTACCAAAGGTATAAAACTTGTGGGCACGCTCGAAAAAAAAATAAAAAAGAAGGAAATTCCAAATGAATTTCCAGCCATCAAAAACAAGAGAAGTCGGCAGTTCACGTGTTTGGTTTTCAAAAGGATATGGCAATTGTTTCATATGCAATGAAAAAAAAAAAAAGTGTGTAATACTGATCAGTACTTTACATGATGATGACAAAACTGACCAGGAAACAAATAAACCTCAAATAATCCTTGATTATAACAAATGTAAAGGCGGAGTTGATACCGTAGACCAACTTTGTAGTAATTTCACTGTCACCTGAAAACCCAAGAGATGGACAATGGCAATATTTTTTGCACTGCTAAACATAGCGGGCATAAATTCGCAAGTGCTCTTGAACTTCTCCAAACCTGATGCAATCATCAAGTTTAGAAGATATTTTTTGAAAAATCTAGCTACATCTTTGATGAAACCACATCTTCAGAATCGTCTGAAAATGCCATTTCTCCTGTCGCATTCCAAAGCTATTATTAGAAGGCTGGTAACAACAGAAGCAGACAAGACGGCCGAAAGGTACGAGTAACCATCTGCAAAAAAGATCAAAGGATGCTACGCTGAGTGCGGTAGAATGAAGAATAACCACACTACCATAAAATGTTCTAAGTGTTCTAAGTTTACCTGCAAAAATCATCTGGGCAAGAGAGTACAACTTTGCAAACCCTGCTGCAGTGAACAGGGACAATCGGAAGAGGATTAAAGTAGCAAAAGGTTTTCAATTTTTTCATTTGTGAAATTTATTACTTACCGAACTTTTCTTTATGGAATATTTATAATTTGTAAATTTGATTCATGTTCTTATAATTTTCATACAGAAAACAATGCAGAATACTATTTAACTTTAAATTACATTTCCAGGGCATTCCACTTTTTGAATTAATTAAAAATTCGTAGTTTCCATCTTTACTGCTTTTTTTTTCTGTTATTCTTTTCCTTATATCATTTTTACTATGACGAATCACCTTATTAATGCCATATATAAGATTAAATAGTTTCAAACACGAAGCGGAAGCTCAAAAAATGACCTAGCGTACTTCATACGGCACCCCTCTAAAATTGTACCATACGCCAGCCCCTCCAGCTGAGGATTAAGCTTAATGTAATTTAATGTGCAGAACAAATTGGAAATAGAGCAGCAGCTCGAGAGTTTGAAGTGGACGAGACATGCATTTGACATTGGAGAACTGAAAAAGAAGAACTTAAAAATATGCCATAACAGAAAAGAGCCAAAAGATGTGGTACTGTAAGGCACTTCTTTTGGCTTACAGTCTAGAGGTCTTCGAATCTAGAGGACGACATTGCAAACTGTATAAAGGAGCAATGAGGAAAGGGAATGGCAATTTCGACTGTAAAAATTTGCTTACAAGCAAAATTTATGCAAAACGAATGAACATAAATAATTTCAATGGTGGCCTTGCTGATGTAGCAGACTTATGAAAAGAAAAAATATTTCTGTGCGTACTAGAATAACAGTTGGGCAATAATTATCAATGGACTTGCAGGATAAAAAGGAATCTTTTCTATATGTGGCAGATATTATTGACAACGACAACAAACAACAAAAAAAAAAAAAAAAAAAAAAAAAAAAAAAAAAAAAAAAAACCACCACCAATTTTCAACATTTCTTACCTTTAATTTATTTTTGAGTTATAGTTTCATGTCATGCATTTTTCTTAACTGATATGTCATATATCAGGACACAGGTCAAGATTTTGTGTCTATACAGTCCACGACGATATCATGCACGATTTAATCTATTGCAGCATTTATGCTGATGTGGTATTTTCTGCATAATTTCAATTAATTCCCCACCATTTTTCTCGAGTGTGGCGTTTATGCTGAAGCGTCCTTTCTTCCGGCAATTGC